TCAAATTATTGATATCTTGCATTTTATTTATTTTGAAATGATAAAATTTCTGAGAAAGGTAAAAAAAAAAAAAAAATGCAATTGGTAAATCATCATGTAACGATAGTCAATATAAGCCACCGGTCATTCGGTGTAACTGTAAAAATTTTTTCAAATTATTAAAATTTTTATCTTTGATTTGTTAAGAACGATCTACATCGTCAGCCAAAAATATTTTTTGATTTAAAGAATATTTGAAACCGTCTAAAAAAAAAAACTATTTTTTTTGTTTTATTATGCTTAAAACCAAACTATTAGTAAAGTTTCTACAAAAACTTGCGAATATCATGATATTTATTTACCGCAGCATCTGATTGTAATTTGTTTTCCACATACTGCGGTAACATGACAATATGTACCATTCTATTATATTAAAGCTTGCGTTCTGATTTTATAATTTGAATCAATTTTGGAAAAATTGTGGACACAATTTATTCTAAAGATTTAGAAATAGGTTTTGTTATTTTTAAAAAAAATGAAGCAACGCAACGGAAGCTAGACAAAATACTTGCTGAGCTGTTAAATGAATCGGAATTATTATTCGTTGGTAATAAATACTGTTACTGATCATATTTTAAGATTAGTTAACAATCATAATGGTAAATATTTTTTTTATATAATTGCAACCAATAAATAATTACCGACAAATAATCGTTAAATTAAATTGTTAAATGTCGAGAAAGCATTTAATGTATTAAATGATGGTTTTCTTTTAGAATTTTGAAAAAAATCTCTAATGTTATTTATGGAAATTAGTTTACTTCAATTGATAATTGTAATCTTTTTATAGCTACTGTATTCGGAATATTTCATTTAGCGATATATATGATGTTTTTTTATGAATAAAATAATGCCTATATGTGGTATTATAAATAAACTTTTGCAAGAGAAGAACTTGTAGATAGATATTGGAACCGGTTAAAGATTTTCTTTAACCGGTTAAAATAGTTAATCTTAACTCGGGCCGAAATTTGACTTTCGGCCAGAATCAAGATTTATTACTAATCATATGGGAGGTTTGCTAGGAAAATGGGCTCTGAGCATTTTTTTTAAAAATTTTAATATTTATTGCATTTTAATCTAGCATTATCAAAAATTAAAATGCAATAAAAATTAAAATTTTAATAAAATATTCTCAGAGCCCCATTTTCCTAGCAAACTTCCTATATATCAAAAAGCATGGGTTAAAATTTCTTTTTATTTAAATATTTTTAGGTAATATTCCTTTGGCCGATCGTGTATCAATAAATGAGAGTCGAGAAAGAGCAAAAGAACAATCACTAAGCAATTTAGAGATTAATGATGTGCAACCGGAGAAAGATTAATTTAAAATTTAAAAGATTTTGAATTCGGTTATTGGTGATGCATTTCAAATTTCACGAGTTTCCAAAGCTAAACTGTATGATTACGGCATATATCTATGAGCTATTTAATTGGATTACAAAATGATTCCTTACAAGTAAGTATTAACAATTTTAATAAGATCAGATTCACTAAAGAACTAAAATCTTTTTTTTGTTCAAGAAACAATATTTCATTATATGCTAATAACGTAACATAGTCAATACAAAGATTTTGATTATGTTAATCAATGGATGAAATTTTCAGTATTATCAAAATACATTTCATTCAAATTTTATTAAACATCAGATTATTTTTCAAGCATTTAATATCAATTAACGACTAAAGAACGCATACCATAATAATGAACATTTTCTTTTTTTTTTTTATTTGAAAAGATTTATTAATTTCTAAAAATTTTGATGATGACTTTTATTGAGCTTTTTATATAAAAGATGAAGGGCCCGGTTGTAATTCTTAATGAATATATTAGCTCTTGTTAAAAACAGATAGTATTCACAATTACAATTTAATTTTTTATTCTATATTTTTTTAATGGTTTTTTAAAATTTATAAATAAATATTAAAAGATAATATCATAATAACACAACATTGAAAATAAAATAAGAAAAGTCTATTTATTTAACAATTTAATTTAAATAATATTATATTGCTTCTTTTAATAAAGGATTTTTTTCGTCAATAATCTCTTCAAAAATAAACAGGACGATCCAAAAATTGCCATCCCGCCTTTATTACCATTATACAATACACGTTTATTAACAGCATCCCGGATTCAGGTTTTTTGTATTTTCTGGGCAATAATTAATAATTCGCAATTTTATTTGCTTTTAATCAATTTTTGCTATATGAATTAATGCGATCTAGCATCATAATTTTATAAAAAATCCGTGCTAAGGCTGTGAAATTGATTGAAATGTTACACAAAGTTAAAAAAAGAAAAATTGACAAATGTTGCGTTGCCGTACGAAACTATGAAATATTTCTTTTAATGTGTGTGTAATCCCGAATAAACAAAATTTATATTATAGGTCATTTTTACGAGTAAACTCAAGGATTAATACCAATGTTTTGGTGAAAAATATAATATACTTACTCTAGCTGAACGCAACATTATATTGATTATTATTTCATTTAAAGATTTGAGAGATATTTAAGGATCCTATCCTATCTAAAAAAATTGTAGGAATCAAATCGTAATATTATGATGATAATCAAAAATGAGAGGTTTAAGTATCTAAAATTAATAAAGATTATAAAAGAGAAAAAAAATAACGAAACCCCACCCATTAAATTAATATAACAATACACCAATAAATGAAGTGTCCATTCAAATCATGTGTAAATGTTATTTATTTTTAGAAGTTTTAGCGTAAATTAATTACAATAAATCGGCACTTTTTTACTCCATTAGGAATGGTCGGCAAAAATGTGTCTTATCCAATTAATTTACATCTCATTGTTTATTCTTCTGAGACTTTATAATATAATAAACTTTAAAGCGTTAGTTTATCAAAAATATACCAGGATGAAATTTAACACAAATAGCCCTTTGTACCTTAGAAATGATTGTTTTTAATTTACTAACGCTTGTTACTTACTTTTATTGTAATACGTGAAAGATACTGAAATTCAATAGACAATATTTATAAACTTTTCATTGATCAGTTTACTCTATTTTATTTAATTTATTCTTTTCTTATTTGTTAAAACTTTATTAAACGTAAACATAAACTCCGGGCAGATATTGAGCGTGAGTGATTAAGACATGTACTTATAAAACTTTCTGTAGATGGATTCGCTCTATTTAAATCGTACTTGTAATTTTTTCTTGCTAATTGTTTAGCTTTAACTGGACGAAACTCTTGGTCAATAGATGGAGATTTTATAGAAATTGTCAGTGATTATGTAAACTTTACTAACTGGATAATGAATAATTACGAATAATTGTAATAGAAAGCACATTATATAAATATTTTCATGGATCGGAATTGTTCTTTGATATATTAATTTGTTTATTATGTTAACTTTACTAACAATCTTGTTCAATATACAATACAAATATTTTCATGGATCGGGTTTGCTCTTTATATATATTAATTTGCATTTTTTTATGTGAATGTGTTGAATTTACTAACTAACGCGTTTAACTCAACACCCTTGGTTTTGAAATAATAGAAATTAAATGATTTTGATAATTGTGAATAACTCACTTGATAACGGATTAATAATTAGAAATATTTTACTTTATATATAATTTTTAATGCGTCTTAAATAAATGTGAGCTTTTTTCCTGATCAATTTTGCTCACCTCAACGTTGGTGATCAAGTAGCAACGAGTCTTTTAAAGACTTGATTAAAACAGCAAAGTAGTTCCTCTTTTGCATCCGAACTGGCGGATATATTTTGGTAACCAAGTGCAAAAATCTAAAAATATCATCGTCAAATCCTAAACAAAGGTGCTTTTGATATGATTTATCTTTCAACGATTTTTTTTTAGTATACAGTACGTAATAATAATGTGAAATCGACATGTTCACCAAATTTTGGGAAAACCGGTATGGTATATTCGTTATTTATTATATTTATTATATTTATCATATTATTTATTATATTGTATTTACTATTATTTTATTCTGTATAAATACTCTGTATCTTTGACCTGCTAAATGGCATAGTCGTTATGTTTATTTCTTCCATAGATTAGACGTACTTAAACTCCCTGCTAGCAAATAATCTTTGTTAACTTAACGACGAACAGTTTAAGCTTAACAGCGATAAGATAGATAATTATGTGAAATGAATGGCATCTTATGGTTGATGGTTCAGTAATAGTAGAGTTTTATTTTTCACATGTTTATAGGATATTTCTTTTTAGTAATGTAAAAGAAATTATGATAATATCGGGATTTTCAGGTTTTGCTAAACTTGTGTCCAACAGATAAAAATTATCAATACAAAAGCGTTATTATGAGATAAGGAATATTTAAGATTAAAATATAGTATTTCAAAATTAAGTGTTCGAATAAGCAAAATCATTATTATAATTTGCACAATGAAATTAGTTAATAAATAATTTTTTAAAATATTTGTTAATTCTAACTCTTTTTCGTGATCGTAATATATTTTAAGTTGTTATCTTTAGTTTGTAAGCCTAAAATTAATACTTATTCAAATCCTCGATCTTTTTGATAATTCTCAATTATATTTGTGCATGGAATGAACCACTTACAATATGTGCTAGGGATGAAAAAATCTATTGCATGAGCACCCTAAAATGAGGTATCATTTTTCGGTATATTTGGTACCATTTCATTAACCTGCATTTTTAACTGATGTCATGCATATATTGATGTAATATAATCATAGATTCAATTAACTTTGATGAGCTAAAGCAGCGGCAGAGTCTCCTTACACCTCATTGCCTGAAGAATTTATTAAGGGGAAGCAACAATTGATGTATACCCAATATTAATAGCCTTGGTTTAATTCATCTACAAAAAATATTAAATAAATAAAAATATATATCAAGTATATGTTAAATAGAAAGAAAAAAAGAAAAAATCGTTATACCACTTAACGTTAAAACAGCTACACATTCAGTCATTTCGCTTTGTATACTTAATGGCAAATTTAACACCAATTTTCGCACTCGCCAGAATTACAATCTCACGTTTATTTCTTTCTGAGCTGCCTGCAAGATTTCTCAATGTGTTGATGGCATGACATCGAATTTCTTCGTAAACCAAAAGCTGAATTAGAGGTGATAAGAAACCCGAGAGAATCATTAAATGGAAAGATATAGATGTTTCAAATACATGCATGCTACCGACGTGAGAATAAAAGGAAGTAAAGATGATTGAAGTAATCTAAAAAATAGTCTATAAAATTTAAATATCAACATTACCATGAATTGAAAAATGTGAAAACAATTTATATAAAATAATTTAATCTGACCATCTGATGCCAAATTTCTCAATGATATAACTGCCGACTTTGCACTTTCTGTGAAGTAGAATCCATTAAACCAATCAAAGTTAGTACTAAAAGTGTTTTTGATAAGACAAGCTTTATTTGTTTAAAGCTATAAATATTTGTATTTGATTTTTAATATTAATAATAACAGAGAATGAAAATAATGATACCATACCATTAAAAGCGATATTGTTAAGCACAATTGTACAATAATATTGAACATACGTATAGGGCAAAGTTAGAAGGCTATCTAATGCAGGTATAGCGTCAGCATTTACAAGTAGTTGTCTGTTCTCATCTAAAGTTCAAAAATTTAGAATTGCAATAAATAATATAATCTACCATAATTTACATGAGAAACTCACAATCATTATAATCATTATATACCAGGAATTGTCATATTCAATAAAACTCCTGTTACTTTTCTTTGAACCCACATATCTTTAGAACCGAAAGCGGTACCAATGTTGCAATTTTTGATTTGTATTCTCCTGATTTGAGTAATACTTAATTAGATACATAAAATATAAATAAAATAACTTAATTTTCAAAATAATTATATAAGTTATCAGTAAAGCATCCAACTGTGATACATTGAATTCGTACAATTAAAACTTTTTTATTTATAATTAGTTTCATAAGTTTCAGAATGCTTTGTATAAAGATTCTAAACTTATTCTAATTATTTAAATATCAATTCAATTTGTTAAAGTTGCTATAATATGTAGCTTAAAGAGAATAGCCTTGGTCATTGTAATGTTTATTATATTTATTACGTTATAGTATTTTTTATCATTATATTCTCTCTAGTCGAATTTAAAGTTTATCTTAATTCTGTTTAGTATATTTTGAATATGAAATTATCAGGTTAAATATATTTATTTAATGATGTATCTTTACACTCCATTCTATTTCAATCACAAGATTATGTCACACAATTCAAATTATACAAACTTACTTTAGGTGAGATGTATAAAAAGTAGCAAAAAACAAATCGACTTTAATAAAAACCGAAAATCTCCATTTCTTTTACATCCAAAATTTTACTTTCATAATAGACCTTTGTGCTGTGATCGTGCCAGTATTACCATTAATAACAAAATCAATATTGCTAAAATTTAATGCCACATTTGAATCATATGATGCATTGCATACATCGCATAATTACTGCTTTAAACTCGACTAATAATTAAATTTTGTTATAATGCATATAATAATGACTAGTATTGTAAATCCAACCCATAAGATTATAACCACTATAGTTTCACCCCTTGAATTCTAATTATTAAAATACTAACTACGTATAGTATTGACAGAATAATCATCTTTACTCTTACGATAAATAAGTTTGAAATTAAATTTATGATCATTTGGAAGTTTTGCAAGAGAATCATTTTTTTTTGAATTCAGTTAGCAAGAATAGCCGCATAATCCATAATTATTAAATGAGATGTATAGAACAGATATCGAAAATTTCATTTATTTCAGTGTCTTGAGATTAAAACACATTCAATAAATAAAATATATGAAAGGTTATTAATTATGATGATTGAAAAAACTATTGCGTTTTCCACATGAAATTTATCAAAGTTCAGAAATAAAAAATTGCTTTAATGTGTAAATATCAACTATTTGAATTTTGATTTCTTCTTTTTGTTATTTATTTTAAACGGTTTCATTATATCTGAAAAGGTTTGTTCGTTAGGTGTTGAGAATTTCATTTTTATTTATTTTTTTTTTTAAGAAATGATTATTTTCTTTTATATATTTCAATGACGGTCCTGACTTTAAATGGACGAAAATTGAGGAAACAGTGAAGTAATAAAGTTTATACAGTTACACTTTATTAAATTATTTTACATTAAATTATTAAATTAATAAAGTTGGTGCGAACTATTCACATTATAAAAAGATTCTTTGATGAAAAATTTTGATATAAACATTTTAAATATATATGTATCATACTATCCATAATTAATTTATTAATATATTATCAGCTCATAATAGAAAAGCAAGAAAATATATAGAACTCGAGCGAGAGGAGGAAAAAAATATTCATAACTTTTAAAGTGAAAACGCCTAATATGAATCACTTGATTTGAGAAATCCAGTCTTTTTAAGCTTTAATTTAACTTGTTATAATAATTAATTTTAGGCTGGATATATATTCGATTGTATGAAAGTTCAAATATTATTTTATATAAAAAGAAGAAATACAAACTAAAGGTATAGTATAAATATATTCTTGACTAATTACCTCAAATAGAGGACTAATTAGAGAATCCTCGAGTTTAATTTTCCTTTTATTTGTCTGGTGACTAATAATTTTCATAAGCTTGATTTCTCTTTTGTAGGCCAATTATTAAAAATCAATTTTACGAGACAGAATTTAATCATTGCAAAAAATGAAAATCGCATTGCCATAATTATAGAGGCAGCAATTTATATTATTATTTGATTTTTAGTGAAATGTGAAATTTTTTTTAAAAAAATAGATTGCAAACAAATTTATTGTTAGAGATAGTAACAAAGAACTTTTTATTATCAGATATATTGGTGTGTGTGATATTAAAATTGAGGTACGGATCATATGTTTTACTATGCCTCGTACCTCAATTTTAATAGCATACCACCCATATAGTAAAATGCAATTATTGATTCAAGTAAAGCATATAATTTTGAAAAATAATTTACAAGACAAAGGGGAAAGTTTGACGAAAATTTCTTTAATATGATATATAAATAATTGGAAGCAATTTAAAGCTCTGAAAATTAGTTCAATGTCAGTATCTAGTCAAAGGAATTCAAATAGATTCTGCTTGTCGAAATCAGGGTTAATTCTGTCTCAAAATCAACCAAAAAAGAAAAAGTCAGACAAAAAGAGAAGAAGCTATAATTTTGGTAAATTTTGCCATAATTTAATATTACAATTTATTTTATAAAATAAATTATATTACGCTAATACCAAAGAAGTTATCATATATTTCATTAAAGCGAATATTTAAATATGTAGAAGGCTATTTATAGAATAAAAGATTATAGTCTGATATCTGTTAATGAATTAGGTTTATTTGGTAACTATATTTGTGTCATCTAACATAGGGTTTTTAAAGAGTTGAGTAAAGTTGGTAAGTTGGTTATTAAAATATCAGAGCAAACGAGTTACTTTAAGAAGCTGGGTAAAGTTGGTATGCAGGATATCACAATAAAGTATTTCTAAGGAGTTGGGTAAAATTGGTAAGCTGGTTATTGAAGTATAGGAATCGAGTTCCATTAAGGAATTTGGTAAAGTTTGTAAGCTGGTTATCTGAGTATCATATCACCAGAGTACTTGTAATTTTCGATATCTTTGCAACCTTCCTAAGGCGTTTAATATGTCATCCTTATTAAAATTTGTAATCATTAATCTTTCAATAGTATTTTCGTGGTTTTTCAACATTCGATTCTATTTCTTCAAGATCTATATTTTGAATCATTTGGGACATTTCCCCATGTAATGAATTATTAATACTAGAATAAGGTTGTTTCTTTACACGATGTACAATTCCTTTACAGCAGAAGCTAACTGAAATGCCAAGTTATATTTATCATCCCAAGCAAAATTATCCATCAAATAGTTTCTAAGTGCCCCGCCATCAAAATATTCCATTGCTAACCAATATTTTTCAATTGATCATTTATGTTTTGAATAATATATAAATGAGTTAAAAATCTATGTAAAATTCAATATATTTATCTGTAATTAACCTAATTATTTTAAATTTTATACCTTGAATTGATGCTGTAATCCCTAAAAGTCAGATATAAAATTATAATGAAAATAACGTCCCATTGAAGTTCAAGCTAAATTATTACAAATAAATTTTTACTAAACAGACGAAAAACATTTGTGATTTACAATTACCTAACGAACAAAACAAGTTCTTTCACGATAGTTTTGTTAAATTTATGAAACAATTTTAACGCGAGCTGTTGCCTTGTACTTTTCCTTAGACTTTTCCAAAGCTTCCAGTACCGATTTCTTGAAAATTACTAAAATGTTTGTGTTCGTAGTTATTTGATATTTTAAAATAGTTTCCTCATCCAATTTACACCTCATTCAAATTGTTGACAGCTTGCATTCTGATTTATTAAATTTATTATATAGAGAAATGAATTAAAAATTTTAACCAAATTTTTATAATTTAATGTAGTGTAACAATCGCACGTGAAAGATTTTCTGACAAATTTTTTGATACCTTGAAATCTTTTTTAAAACTTTCTTTCGAAAAATACATCATGTGATAAAATAAATATGAATAAAAATAATATACTGGAAGTTTGCTTCGATATAAAAAAATCTCGATCGTGGTTTGTGTAAAATTACAAAATATTAATTTTTCTTCCGTTGAATATCGACCTTCACCAAATACAACACTTCATATCTGCTAACAAGTTTGATGTTATCTTGTTATCTTTAAATGTTGGAATTTTCGAGGTTTATATTGCTAGTGGATAATTACATAGAACAATTTACTCAAATTAAATTGGAATAACTGAACACATACATTGGAAGTTATAATCATAACCGTCCATCGGTCTTTTTTCAAACCTTATCAAATCAATCTTAAGGGTTGTGTGGCAGTAGAAATAAAAAATGTAGAAATCCAAACAATTAGCTCATTCGTCAGATATTGACCTATTACATCTTTTTATGATATAAAGAAAGGTACAAAAACAAAAATTCATGAAAGATTATATTAGCCACAAATTTATCACAAGGTTTTACCAACACCTTCAGGAATTGTTGGAATTGTTGTTTCCATGTTTCTCTATGTGGTGATATCGCATAAGATTAACTCGCACAATTATGTTCTAGAACCTATTATGCAAGATGTTTAAATTATACGAGAAGGTTTCATAAGGAAGCTTGAGATGGGCAGGAAAAATTTGAATGGAACGAGTTCCGATGAAAATTTTCATAATTTATTTTGTTATTAAATCGATTTATTTTATAATGGAATTATATTAAATTAATTATATACATATTTATAAAAATCTTTTTATTACTCGTATATGTTATAGTAATTCAGCACATCGTGCAAAGCAATATTTTAGCTACCTTAACGATGTAGTAATTATTTGGCTCGAAGTGCCAGATAAGTGATTTATCCGATGTCCCGTCATTTTCAAGCTATTGTATATTTAAATTTATTTCACACGCTAACCATTTCTTTCGCTTCTTTCAATGGGAAATGTAAGTATTCTTACATTTTTAAGTCATAAATCATTATTAACTATTAGCATTGTTTAAATTTAATTAACTAGTGAATATTAATGGCAATTTCGGGTCAAAATTCATCAGCTGGAGTACGCAACTATCTTAAAGTAGCAAAGAAAAAAAATATTTTTAATTCTTTTAAAATATTATTTATTAATAGTTACAAACTTACAAAAAATAATTTAATAAAATAACAATTTTCATGGAAAATTTACAAATGAATGTTCCATTTCGATGCCTTCATCCAAATTCTGAATAATGGAGTCTAGGTTTTAATATTTATATTGTCCTTATTAGATAAAACTCGCCATTTTCAAGCTTTGCTAACTTTGTATTAAAATCTTTAAGATCTTTAAAAGTTATTTCAAGTTTATGGGCAATCTTGATGCATAATACTAGCTTTGGACGTGAAAAGTTAAAAAACTTTTGCTTGGTGCGCTTATAACATAATATTTGAATAATAATAATTCGAAATCCTCCTTCAATTTCTTCATAAATTCTCCACGTATTAGAATGTTTTCCAGGTTTATAACTTGTTCAATTTATTCCATATTTATCAAGTTCATGAGATGTATATTGATGAGACCACACATCTCCCGTAATACCACAACCACAATAATTTACATCCAACTTATTTAACATAGATTTAACATTGTTAGCATATTTAATACCATTTAATTGAACTCCGTGTTTGGGGGCTGTACTGAGTTCTCCATTTAATTGTCAGCCAACAGTTGTTTCACGTCCCGCTGAAAGTTCAACATTGTGATTTAACTGATGTGGAGATTTTAATAGCCGATTATCCATATATATTCTTCAGATGCCGGAATGCGAGATAGATTATTATTATTATTTTTAGAACTTCGTCGTCATCTTCTACTTAGAAGCCTTTTTCAATCTTATACGGCTGCTTCGATTATTTTTCTTCAATTACTTTATCAATTCGAGCTATTCGAAGATAGTATAGACCGAATTCCTCTATATTACAAAAAAATCATTGTATAATTTCGGGAATAATAAAGTTTTACAAGCTCCAATTTTGATTTAAAATTTTTATCCTATTGTAAATTAAAAATGATTATTAATAATCCTTTATGAGATCCTTTTATGAAATAATTATTACATCATATTTCATAATAAAATTAATGTCATTTTCTTTGTAATTTAAATTGATTTTAGTATTTTTAAAATTTCCACGAAACTTAATAAAAATCATTTCGCATTGGTATAATATCTGTTTAAAAGGTTAAAAGATTAATAAAAGGTAATATTTTTAATTATCACGTCACACCTTGAGCTATGGAGTTATTTATTTTATCACTAATCTTCAGATATGCTTTATATTCATTCTTTAGATGTCTAGTCTATTTTTCAAAAAAGTTGAACTTAGGCAAGGAATAGGGTAGGTCAACTAATTTGTTCAAAGAATTAAAATTAATGAGTCAGCAATTTACAAATAAAAATCAGTATCAGAGAATAATGCGAAGAAAGGATGTAGTCAGAAGGTAATCATCAAATGGGCGCTAATTTGTTATATTTCGTTTAATCAGAAATACATGACACTTTAAGAAGATATTACAGCTAAAAGGAATTGCTGATTTACCTTTTAACAATAATGGCAATATGGCAATGCAGTTTTGAAGGTAATTACTATTTATTTCTGTAAATTTGAGTGATAATTTGTTTTAATAAATACTTATAGACCAATGATTAGGATTGTAATGTTTAGCAAAATGTCTAAATTACAAAGAAATTTAGAAAGTTGTTAGTTGCAAGATTAATATTATTAAAAGTCGTTAAAAATTAAAAAATGATCGCATACTACTTAACATAGTATGCTGTTTACTATACTAAAATAATATGGATCGAGTTGAGTGATGTAATAATTACTATACTTAATTCTCCCAACGAGGTAAAGTTTTTCCCTTTTAAAGGAGTCTGCTCCTAACAAAATGAAAAAAAGCTAAATTAGCCGCTGTGGAGTTACATAAAAATCTTATCAAAGAGGAGCAAATTATCAAGGTTTTTGTATAAATCTATTCTAAAGCCATACTGGTATATTTATAGTAAGCTGTATTTTTTTAAACAAATGTTGACTAATATTTTGCATAATATTCCAGAAAGAAAAAACGACGATACTTGAAACAAAACCGCGATGAACAACTGTGAAAATAGATAGTGTGGCAATTCCAGTCAGACGGCCAGTGTATATTTTAAATGATATATATCGGTCAAGTTCCAATAAACTTAATGTTTCTCAAACGATTGCCATGCTTGAATCGTCAGCAGACAATGGAACACAATACGAAGAGGATCTGCCCACACTTCTTAATTATTGAAAAATGAATATCCTTTTCACGATGGAACGAAAAAAGAAATTTTATACGATGATAAAATTAATATGTGTATGTTTGCTTAAACTTACAATGTTATTAATGTTTGCCCTATACTTGCATATGATAATTCAATCTTCTGGTTAAAAGATCTCAATGGTATTATTTACATATGGTATCGTATAGAGGAAATAATGATACGCGGAGGATATAATATGAGGAAAATTTGCTACTTCGAAGAAGATACTCATTGTTTGATTCCACTGAAAGAAGCTAAAGATGAAGGTATGAAGAATTACATTGAGGGTAAAAAAATGCGATTGTAGTTTCTGGAGAGTCACTAAAACCATTAAAAAAAGAAAAGAAAGCATCAAAAAAAGGTGGGAAAAAAAAGAATTAAACATTAATGCAGGAAATATTTGATTTATTTTACCTTTATTTTATATAGTCATTTATAGCGTTGCTTTATCTAGCCTTTTCTTTTAATTCTTTTAATTAATGTAATAAAGATATACTGTATGCGAATTTAATTTTACATTACAAATTACCCAATTTTCGCTTGTATTGTATCTCTAAGATTTGTAGTATAAATTTTCGAGTTAGCAAGAAATAAAGAATAAAATAGTCCTGCAGGTATTATTATAATTTTATATATTGCGACTGACTTTTGTTTTTCAATATCGTTATCGCTTTATCACATACTTTGAAGATTCAAAATCATGTGAGTATTAATTGAAAAACCGTGATCATGAGTACTTAGTTATACCCAGGAGCTTGTGATTTATAGGTGTTACGAAAAGGAGTGGAGTCAGGTGAAGTGAACAGGTATTGAGTATGGTTTTTTAACGAAAAGGAGTGGAGTCAGGTGAAGTGAACAGGATTGAGTATGGTTTTTTATAGGTTCGGTCAGTTTAGAGTTAAAAATATATACTTTACATCATTTCATGTGATATACTCCAATCATTTGCTTCACCTGACTCCACTTTTTTTTCGTATCACTCGTGATTTATTATTATATGTATTAACAATGAATTATACTTTCATACTCAGAATCATGTGACTTATAATCGCATGTATGTATAATACTTTTTATATTCTTTACAATTTTCTCACATCCGTTAATTTTTATTTTTTTTTTTACTAAAACTTAATTAATAAAGGTGGCAATTAAAAATTTAATCCATTTTTTTTAATTTTTTTTTGAATAAACAAATAAATAAATCATTTTATGTTTAAAGGAAATCTTATGAAAAGCTAATGATACTAAAAATAAACAAGTATTGACCTACGAAAGATTTTTTTTCAAACTGATAATGATTTACAAACCATTCTCGCGTTACTAATATTATTCCAAAAAATGATAAAAGATGTATGTTCTGAAAACTATATGAATAAAAAAGTACAAACTATCCAAAATTCATTCCTTCGAGATATATTTGCTGATGTTCGTTGTTTTTACTCTGTTAGTTGTCGTTCAAGGATTGATATTTGGTGAGAAATTGATACAGGAACTTTTGTAATGTTTCTCACTTCCGTTCTCTATAAAAGTTTATTCATACATAGTTGAATTTAAAAATGAATAATGGGATTAGATCTAATGACCACGTGTAAAAAATTGATGAATCTGCGTAACCGCTAGTGGTCGATAAGCAGTACCTATTACTTCTATTAAATAATAAAAAAAGATTTTTATAATTAATTTTTCACTACAGTTAAATGACAAAAGTTTTTAGTTTACTCAAATTTAGCTTTTGGTATTTTGGAGTATACTACATGCTGTTAAACTGTACTGTATGATACTGATTCAAAAACCACATCATTTTGCATAATAATAACAGTATAAAGAAGTACTTTTGGTCACATCACTTCGTATACTTACCGCACCGTACAGCAAAACAAATCGGTATTTTAATATATGCTATTTAACAACATCTATACTTTCTGAATATAAATAAATCACTTGCTTCGTTACCCGCAGACACACCAACTCGAAGAGCAACAGCATATCATTGCCGTAGTCCCATTTAAAAGTCGTTCTTTTTCTAAATTTGTCTTTTATATCCTAAAAAAATTATTCTATATTCCGCGCCAGCTAGTAATACGAATTCAAAGATTAAATAAACTTTGTTTTCTATCAAGTTAAAGACCTAAAATTTAATATTTTCGCGTCCTAAACTTGAAGTAGTAATACCAGCCGTGGAAAAGTCTGGAATCGCCAGATTCTTTTCAATCGACTCAGCTGTTGTGGCTTTCTTTGAAATAAGCAATCAATATTATATTATTAAAACCTTAATATTTACCAGAATATAGTTGTCAGGATCCAATTCACCTAAAAATTTTTGAAACTTTTATTTAATTGAGAATCTTTTCGCAATGTAAAAGCAACTAATACTTTGAAGAATTTGTGCTCTTTCATTTCTCTTAATGATGACATTATTATCTCCATCTTAAACTTTCTTCACTTCAGGGAAAATCGAAAAGAAAATTGGATAATCTTCAAAATTCTTATTTATTGTTTAAATTATTTTAGGTCTATCTCTATCCATTATTAATGACTGAGTAATGCCCGGGGAACTATCTGAATACAAAATATAATTTTGGACAAAATAGATATCTCGGCTTTTTTGGACATTTTGTCGATCATGTTTCTATTACTAATTATTTATGTATTGTGTCCCAAAACTGTTTAGTTTTTGTAGTTCGATTTGTCCTTTTAGCCAAATTACAGTATTACTCCCCGACCAAAATGTTTCAACATAAGTCCTTGATGAAATTTTGATATAAAATGTATTGTTAGATTTTTCTTTATATAAAAGATAAAGTTACTTAGAATTCTTTTTTTATGCTTTCAACAAAATAAAAGTTTCTAACCATTCTAAAGTCTTTTTTATACTATTAATAAGAATTATGATATAGAGTCAAGATTTTTATGATTCTGTTTAGAGAAATTTATTACTAAATCTCAAATAGTATACATGTAAATTTTTGAAAATTGATATAAACTTTCTTAAAATAATAGTTTGCAACTGCACGAATCCACATGTAATATTGCAGGAAGATTTAAATTATATTATGATTAAATTTTTAAAAGAATTGAATCAATAAAAAAAAATAATAATAATAATAATTCAAATTATGTGATTTGTTCGAACAAGACATGAATAACCTATGTGCGTCATTAGCTCGAATAAACTCGAGAATTCAATAAAGTAAATGCGTCGATTAATAACATTATCCAAGATTTATTCAGCTAATAATACTTATTTGTCATTGTAGTTATAAAAAAATAAGCTTCCCTTCCCTTGATCATGATTCGAGTTTCCGATTTATATTATATTTAAAATATAAAAATATTTAAGATTTAAAGTTAAAGCACTCTGCATCACGTCATTTGAAAAAATGATGCTATCACCAGTTTGTAATTGATGTTTTATCGTGCTATAAATGCAATTTAAATACTTAAGGAAACTAATTAATTATCTTATATAAAAAAAAATAGGAAGTCAATTCTTTTTTTATTAATCCTTTATTACATATTAAATCTAAAAATTTTATTTGAATGTTTGACAGGATAGTTCAATGTTTGATGTTCCATTTTTGTTATTCGGATTGAACGGATTGAATCTCTTGCTTAAAACATTAAGAAATTCGATAATTGCTTATTGAACCAATAAACATTCCTCGCCGTAGAGTGGCGCCTCATAGTACATCTCGCATCGATCCGAAGAATTAACTGGATGCTTTTCGGAGAAATCTGATCTTATGAATATATAACATTAAATTCTCGATTTAATATAAATTACTCTATCTCAACCCTTTGTTTCTTTACTCCTTAAGTTTGTAAAAATTTAGTCATTTAAAATTTTTTCCTATAAACCTAGTCTTTAATCATGGATGTCCTTTTTTTTGACCAGACAAGCCCGATTTATTTGAAAGTTACACAAGAAGACAGGAAGGAGCCACACAAAAGAGAAGACAGAACATGTTCATTGTTTACCGTACTGAAATAAATGATGAAAATAAACCTGAATAGATGACGATGTCTGAATTCAGCAAAGAAGTTAACCAATACTATACTTATAAGCAAGTGATTTTTTTTTGCTCGAATTATGGTTTGCAATTTTATTCGGAAATTACATTTAAATTCAATTTACGTTCTGTTATAAATTGTAAATTACAAGTTTTTACTATTTTTCGTTGGAATCAAATTTGCTTTAAAGCATAATTACGTATGATTACAATCACATTATGATCATTAACATCAAATTTGAAAGCAATTCTTCCAAGTGCGTTTAAAATCAGTCTATAATAATAGTATATAAATTAAAACTTTCGTCCTAATTACTGAAAAAAGAATCGAGATTATTTACCTATCCATAAAATCTTTTACCTCTATGTGTTAATTATCATCTTTTTCGATGACCTTCAGTAATTTCACAGCAATTTCATCAAAAAAATTGCATGGGTATACTTTAAAACGCAGGATTTGTAATAAAACTAGAATACAAAGGAAAAATTCAATAATCAATTTATGATAAATGAAAATTGACGATACTCACCGATGACGTTTCCAAACCTACATATCAATCAGGCATTCGAATGTCAGTCAAAGAACGTATTATATTTGAGATATTTCAAATTTACTTATATCTCCGTTGGCGTTTGTGCCGAAGTAACTAGCCATTAAAGATCCGGGAAACGCTTCTTCGAGCGATGCTTTAGGATACAAATATAATTCAAATTATAATGTTAAAACAAAATAAGGAATTAACTTAAAAAAAAAAAAAAAAAAAAAAAATACATCTTTTGTAAGTTCCAAATCGGTAGGTAGTAATGAGGACATACCTCCATGGAACCAAAACTATAATTTATTTATTTACTTCGTTTTTAGTAAATTTTCTTTTAAAATCAATAAATCGTATAAGAATGATATGACTTGTTACTCATATTTCTTAAGAACTTGTCGTGAATTTTCCCAACGTTTGTCAGGGCCATCATTAAAGAACATAGATTTAAAAAAAATAAAATAACTTATAGTTAGTACATTTCAAGTCCTTCGGTACTCTAATTATTTGATAAATTTTGTAAGCGATAAAGTATTAAAAACCAAAATGGTTACAAAAAGCATTTTATTGAAAATTTTATTTGTTTCCAATATGAAAAAAAAATGGTGGTATATATTAAGAAAAGAACTCGGTTAAATTATCAACTACTCCTCAATCATAAAATGTTTACCAATGACTTTATTGACTCTTCCTTTTTCTTCCGTTCAACCTTTAATAAAATATGGATTCTCATTTAAAATTCTTTTTTTCAAATTTGAGTTACAGCATATTTGCTTTCAACTTTGATGATTAAACTTAGACGTTTATTTATATCGTTATCGGGACGCGGCAATATTTTTTTTGTGTTAGAAAATAATACCGATTTCTCATATTATTCCTATTATTCCATATACCGACAATAATATTTCAACAATATTTCAAAAAAAAAATTTTGATTTCTTACGCCCTTTTTTATCAATCTCTTTTTTTATTGTTTTTATAAAACATGGCACGACAATTTATATGATTTTAAGTTAATTTTTTTTCATGATTGTTTGCCAATTATCGACGGGTTGATTTTCGTTCAAATATTGTCATACAATTTACCTGACATACTGTGGATCTTTTGTGCCAAATATGATCCTAGTGAATATTTCTTTGATAATAAGAATTTAAGAGAAATTTTCAGTAAAAAGGTAAGAGATTCCATTCAAAAAAGCAAAGAATTGGTTTAATTATTCTTCATCATTATTATTAACATTAATTTAATTACACTCGTATTAATAATTAACCAACGAACAACAAAAAAAAGCCACGGAAGATGGTTATGAAGTATTGTTTGATTTGGATACATAATAATGGAAAATTTTTGAAAAAGGAAAAAAATCAAACAACGAATACCAATAACAAAAAAAATATTTTTTTTTTTTAAAAAAAAAAAAAAAAAAAAAACGTCGTTTTTACGCGTTGAAAATATCATGTATCTTAAAATACTGCATTGTAATCCTCATGATGAGCTGTCGCATTTATGTTTATGCTTCCCACCCCACATAATAAATTCTTTTCTAAATAAATCTGGGAAGATATTTGTATAGTTTGTATTAATACGAGACTTGATTTTACGTGCTAATGTCTCATAAATAAAATTTTCAATAAAAAAAGATATTAATTTTTATTTAAAATTTTGTCTTAGAATATCAAAATCATTAAAAAATGAGATCTGTACCACCCTTATAAATATAGATATCAGGTAATGTTTTTTATAATTTGTAGTTCTTTTTTATAAAAGGAATAAATAAAAAATAAAAGATTAATGCCATAATAATCCCATACATTAATAAATTGATGAAATAATATCTTATTCCAACAATTTATCATGTCGCAATATCGGAATTATAATTCAATTATGAAGAGATAATGCTTTTATAATAAAAAGATATATCAAATAATAAGTATATTTCGTTTCGTCTGTATTTTCAGTTATATAATTATTCAGAAAAATAATAATAATTCACTGTTACAGCACAATCAAGGTAAATAATGTATTGTTATCAAGTTGCATAAGTTGCATAAGTAATAATTATTAAAGATAAAATATAACGCTATTATTTTCCCATAAATTTATATTCTCTCCTTTTTTAACATGTGTAATGATGATACATTTATTAGGGTTAAAATAAACTTCTAGAATTGATGTATAAAATATATCCAATTTTCAGCTCAATGTCTCGACAAAAAAAGCAAATTTTATATTTATGCTTATTTTATCTTGATTATGAATTATATGAACTGCTTGAATGTCATTGTATATTTAAAATTGAAGCATTAAGCTAATTTACTTTTCATAAGTAATAAGGTTCTACAAATGAAACTTGAAAATAATATATTAAGAAGACATCAGATTCAAGCATAATTCCTAATCGTATTTTACTAAAAAACACAAAGAAGTAATTATTTATCTAATAATAGCAGATTGTGTTTGTTGATATCATAGTTCTATATTTGTATATTAAAGATTTATTTCAATAAATTATCATTTCATTTTATGTATATCTATAAAATTTGGGTTTCTCTTTACCAAATACTATGGAAGACATAGTCACTGCAATAATGTAAATTTTAATTAGTTATAACATTTCATCATCAATTAATTAATAAATGATAATCACAGTACATAAATCCATTTTTTATATTGCTAATATAACACTGGATTTGAGATTGTGTAATTTATTAAATATTTAACTCAGAGCAAGTATTTTAGTTTCTTATTAATTTTTAGAATTTTGATTGTCAACTTAATCTATAAAGCTGTAATTTCACAAAGAATTGTTATATTCAATCTTACTCCTTACCTATAATTGACTTCTGTCATTTCTCTTCAAAATTATCTTAAAGCCACATATTTTATTATTCATCAACAACAAGGATTTTTCAAATAATTAGTTTTGAAAATTATGCAAACTAATAATCATTTGACCAAATTACTAGAATTTACCTTGAAAGAAAAAATTAAATAAATAAAAAATAAAAAGAAATTAGTATATTTATGAAAAAAATTGATTGTTTTGTGAATATTTATTGTATACTAATAAAATTTGATACACAATCATTTCGATACCTACTGAACAACTTTGTTTAATTTCAGAAATCTTCCAATAAAAAATTAAATAAAATAAAAAATAAAAAAGAAATTAGTGTATTTATGAAAAAAATTGATTGTTTTGTGAATATTTGTTGAATACTAATAAAATTTGACACAATTATTTTGATACCTACTGAACAACTTTGTTTAATCTCAGAAAGCCTGCTTCATTCGACCAAAGTACCAGAATCTATTTTCCAATAAAAAATTAAATAAAATAAATAATAAAAAAAATTAGTGTATTTATAAAAAAAAATGATAGTTTTGTAAATGGTTATTCAATACTAATGAAATTTGATACACAATCATTTTGATACCTACTGAACAACTTTATTTTAATCTTGGAATGTATTAATATAAAATAGTAATTAAAAAAATAAAAATAAATTAAAATTGAAATTGAAATTGAAAAAAAAATTTTTTTAAATTTTTTTTTTTGCAATACAACATCTATACATAAAAATGTAATATAACAAAATGTAACACAAAATAAAGGATCATCTAAAGGAATTACTTTGGTTTTTTTTTATCTACAAAATTAAAATTCTTGAAAAAAACTACTTTGTGATCATTAAATTTAACATGACTCAAAAGTGCTACAGAAGACTTTCTTTCACGATTCTATTCTAATAATTTCAAAAAAGCTATAAGCTTATTATAATTGCGAAAATATATGAATATGTTATTCTAGTATATTATATATATATATCAAATATTTATGCATATTGAATATGTATATATATATATTATATAATACAGATAAATTATTCATATCACAAATTTCCTAATTTGAAACATTTATTAATTAATCCATGTTGATCTGTATGACATTTATCCCAATTAAGCGAAAAATTTAGTAAATTTAGTAATGATCACCATCAATTTTTACATCTTTTCGTTAACAATACCGAGATTCAAATTATTACGAATGTTAAAATTAATTATTATTCTGATGCTTAAATAATTGTTATATAAATAACAAGAATTGATGACAATTGATTTAACATACTCTTATTTCATATATAATTACTGGATCATAATGTAACGTAAGTAGTATCACAAAATGAAAAATAAAATTTATTAGAACTTCTTTTTCTTTCTTCCTTTTATATATATATATATTTATCATATAAAGCTTTCCTACAATCTTTCTTTCCTAAAAGTGAATATGTTTAAAGTACAGATGTATAATAATTAAAAGTTAGTGAAATAATTTCATTTATATTTCAATAATCCACATTCTCTTCTTAAGTACAAAAACTATTAGTATTACTTTGACAGATATTGAAGTTCTAAATAACATCAAAATGAGAGAGACATTAAAATCTTTGATTATCTTAGTTATCAATAAGCGAGTTTGATAGCAAAAGTTACTTAAAAGGTACCTAAGATCAAAGTATTCATGAATTATTTAAAGCTTTTGAATTAATTATCTCTAATTCATTTTTTAATTAAATATTCTATTATTTCCTCCAAGACTTCTCAATCATGTACTATATATATGTTAACTGGACGATCATAAAGATGTAAAAAATGGTGGTTTGCACAATTTGCATTTGTTCAATAAATGAAAAACATTTATACATCACGTTTAATAGATAATTTTTTTATGAAACTTATCATCTCGATCGCACAGATCAGTTAATACATTTAACTTGGGTTTTTGATTTATGTTAAAAAATATTTTTCGTAGATACTTATTAGAATATTTATATAAGTCATACATAATTAAATAAATATAAGGTGATTAATAATAATTATAATAGTTGTTTAATTTTTAACATTATAACAAACTATTTTCAATTATTATTCTTCAAAATTATTATAACCTTTCCTTTGTCAAGTAATTTGAAACAAAAATATATCGTAAATGGAAAGGATGTGTAAATTTTATTTCATTAAATTTTTTTCAGAATTCTATTTTATTTCTTTTTTTCTTTTAACTATTAGCCAATGTTCGTATAAAACAAATAGTTAGATCATGAGATAATTAAATCCTATTTTATTAAACAGGAATTTCTATTTCAATACTTTCAATTTTTTGGATAAAAGCAATAATTTTAGTTGGCTAATTTATCAGTATTTACCTTTAAAAATTAAAATCGCGTTATAGTCTCAGGTAATTATTTAGTGTAATAAAGCCGAATTTGATAATATTTTGTAAATAAAATTTTTAATATTATAAAGTTCTTCAAATATTTGTACAATTAAAATAATACAAAAAACTGTGGAGTATTTCTACTAAGTGTCTGACACTTAGAAACTTAAAATTTATTAAATCAATTTTTTTTTTAAAAAAAAAAAATATT